CTGCCGTTGGACGGCCGTGCTTTTCGATCTAGTGTAAATCGCTTTAAAATATAAGTTTACTGAAGGATGCGACGCCAGCTTCATCTAAAATAAACACTTCACCCTCACTGAATAATGTATTACTGCCGCAGCCTGTTCTTTCTCCTGAAGCCTGCCACAGGGCCCGCAGTTGGGACTTTTGGCAGGCTTGGAGTCACTTATGCCTTTCACAAACCTAAGTGAGCGTGCATCCGTCTCTGTTATCCTCTATTTTGCTTCATCCTGAATTCTTCCGACACCCCTCTTGTCCGGGGCGGGCTGCATGCGTCAGCCACGAGTGGGCCCGGAGCTCCATGGGACGGGAGACGCTGACCGGGAACCAAGCGCGCATGCACGGGTCAAACCTCAACGGTTGGCCCCCAGGCGCACACAGTTCTGCCCCACCGTTAACTATTTTCCTTTATCCCGTAGCCCTGAACTGACTATTTCTGGTCGAAAGGGCTCTAATCCAAACACCAAATCAAGTGAGCATGTTATAGAGAAACACTTCCGGAGGCTGAAGGTCACTAAGTGCATTTTTTGGAGTTGAATGATCACTCACTCTTCGGACCAAGACAAAGTAAGCATAAACCTATCACTTTGAAGCCCATTTTAATGGGCGACCATACAAATTTTGCGCACAGCCCCAAACTCAACTTGTCTCGAGTCTTACACGTGATGTTTGCCTTCTATACATCTGATTCTGTCACATCTCACCTTGATTGGCATCGGACGGGGCTGAGCGTCAGCATCACGATGCCAGCTTTGGCGCCCTTGTTTGGATTTGCCGTTTTTCATAACGCGAACGAATAGTGAATGGGGAGGGAGTATAACGCGACCCGCCATTTGCAAGCTAACAAGATGAAACCTCGCAAAAAACGAACGATGTGCCTCACCGAGATCTCACAATTGGTCTTGGGTTGCTAGGTCTAAATTTACTCTATTTAAGCCCATTAGGCAGGGGTGGATCCAGGATTTCGTCAAGGGGAGGAGGCCTGAAGACACTGTGGGGCCCCCTAGAGTTTGGGGCTCCGCTAGAAATATCCTTGCATTCCGGTCATTTAATTTGCAGATAAATAGTATAAACATTTATATTATATACATATATGTGTGTGTGTGCGTGTGTGTGTGTGCGTGTGTGTTTAATAAAAGGGGAACTCATTTTACTGAGCGTTAGCCCTGCAAAGCTATGCGTGCTACGTACGCACATACATGGAGCTCACTCATTTTGTACAGATCATGTTAAATCCCGTGCTTTTAAAGCCAGATGTTTTCGGAAAAACAGGGAAAATAACCTCAAGTTGGCTGCTAAGTACCATCAAAACCAAGAACGAACTTTATTTTCGACTTATTTACGGATAGCCGACTAGACGATGTAATCAGCTAGTGGCTGATACCTAATGTAGAATTCTTCCTTTGTTACGAGAGAGTGCATAATATCCTAACATTCAAAATATGTTAAAAACGTGATGCACAAGTAGTAAAAAGTCACACAATCAATAGCCAAAGGAAGCGACACATACGACGTCGGCAGCACGTAAAAGTACGTTCGACAATTACCCGTAAAAATTCATCGGCGCATATCTGACTACTGATCTAAGGCTAACGCACCAATGCCAATAGAGACGGAACCTGGACAATCATGGATGCCACGGAAGGCGAACAAACAGGCTCCTGCCAACAAGTATAGGGTCCTCAGAGCAAGCAAAAAGAACCCAAGACCAACGTCATGTGTCCCTAAACGACCGGTAGTGCCCCGCAGGCTGACATATAAGGCCCCGGCCAGAGCACAGGACCCCCTGAGCAAAGGGGAATTACCCAAGACCATGGATTAATACCCCTGTGCGATCGAGAGCACCCGGGCAGGTTGACAGCAAGAGCCTTGACAGGAGTGAAGAGCCCTCCGAAAATGAAATCAAAGGGAACGACCTCTAAATCAAAGTGGAGGGCCCTGAGCCTCGAGTGTCCCGGTGCCTTACCATATGTAAGCTCCATCAACAGCACAAGGCCCACCAAGCAAGTGGAAAGAACCCGATACCAATACGATGGGCCCTTAAGCGACTGAGTGTACCCTGGCATTTCAGGCCCCGGAAAAAGTGTGCAGAGCCTTTTGGGAGAACGGGAAAACTCGTGGAGAAAAACCTGATCAATCAAAGGTGCTCAGGCATGGAACCAGATAGTGTCCCACAACGACAACTAACAGCGTTAGTCCTTACGATAAAATGCAAGGAGATGGAGGGCAACGTAGTCCCCAGGCAACACATCCTCAATCAGCAAAGAATTAACTCCGTCTGCTTATGAACTTCTAACTTTTGCCAGCAACCGTGCTTGGTCGTCTGCGTGACCAAAAAAGTCCAATTGCATTGTGTGTAATGTTTTGTTAGAAAACTGCGTTCGTTAGGCCGGTTGTGGGCTCATTTGGAACCTGTAAGTCCCCGCGGCATGGTTCATGGGGTGCATGGTCCCGTACCTTCCCCTCCCCGTCTATATCCGCCACCGGCCCGAGCGGCTTAATAGATGCGGCCCGCCAACAACATAGGGTCATCCATTCAAATAAGAAGTAACCAAAACAAGGCATGGAGAGCCTCGGAATGATCGAGTGTGCCTGAGCTGGTAACGGATGGGGGCACTAACAAGAGCGCATGGCCAGTTCACGAGCAGGTATATATAGGGCCCCCAACAAATCGCAGGGCCCTCCATCCAAATAGCAAGTCCCCAAGACCCAATGTAGAGGGCCCCCGAATGACCGAGTGTGTCTGAGCAGGTTAACAGATAGGGCTCTTAACAAAAGCGTAAGGCCCTCCATTCAAATAGGAAGCATTCAAGACCTAATGGAAATATCCCCGAACGATAAGATGCACTCCAGCAGCTTATCAGAAGAGGCCCGACAAGAGCAAACGCCCTCCATTCAAATAAGAAGTACCCGAACCCTGTGCAGAGGGTCCCCGAAAATGGAGTGTACCCGAGCAGATTATCAGACGACCCTGACAGGAGTGCAGGGTCCTAAATTCAAAGGAGATGAACGGACGGGCCCGCCGACAGGAGCGAAGGGCCATCCATTCAAATAGGAAGTCTCAAGATACAATGTGGAGGGCCCCCGAACAATCGAGTGTGACCGGACAGGTTAACAGATGGGCCGCCGACAAGAGCGTAGGGCCTTCCGCTCAAATATGAAATACCCACGACACGATGAAGAGGGCCCCCGAATGATCCAGTGCTCTAGAGCATGTTAGCAGATGGAGGCCCCGTTGAGAGCACATGGCCCCCCACTCAAATAGAAAGTACCCAAGACCCGACGTAGAAGTTCCCCAACAATGGGATGTGCCCGAGCAGCTATCAGAAGGGGCCGCGACAAGAGCATGGGGCCCTCCACTGAAATAAGAAGTGCTCAAAACTCAGTGTGGAGGGCCCTCGAAACATGGAGCGTACCCGAGCAGGTTATCAGACGGCTCCGAAAGGAGCGCAAGGCCCTAAATTCAAACACCAAGACCCAATGTGCAGGGCCTCCGAACAATCCAGTTTGGCCGAAGGGGTGAACAGAGGGCCAGAGGGGCCCCGACAGATGCGTAGGGCCCCATTCAAATAGGATAGGACATGGTCAGATATGGAGTTCAGTACGGTTTTCGTCAAGCGACGGGGACGGGAGTCGTGCCGATTAGGAGAGAGGAGGAGGTCCACAAGAGGAAAATGCAGGAGCATCTCACCAACAGAAACAAAACACGTCAGATACATATGAATATTCCTGTCTCGTCAACGTAGGCCGACGAGCCTTCCATCTCAAAGCTGATGATGGGGACAAGAATTGACCACTCATCTCGTGTGTTCTACATTTCTAGCGATTCTCAAGTAAATCAAAGGGCTGGGGTTTGCCTAGCCAGCACGGATCGTCGTGGAGTATTTCACCCGTCTCGGCGCGGGGCTCGCTTGCCGCTTCGCGGTCGGTATCGTACGCACAAGCGGGAAGGAGCGCGGGCCCGTCCCGTGAATGGCGCGGGCCCGGTTGTACTCGACACCTAGGGATGGTTGGTTCGACTATTTGTCGCTTGGCGACCGCCACCCCTACACCTAGCGGCCGACCGCGTTTGTTTGGTCTAGTAACGTGTGTAATAAACAATAATTACATCGCGTAAAAAACAGTAATAAAATCGTGGTCGTGTTAAAGAGAAAACATGCATTGGTCGAAATTGATTGTTCGATGATAACTTTACGGTAAGTTTCGATCTGTTTGTTCTACGACAATTTCCAGTATATTTTTTAGAATCGTGTGCTTCATTCTGGGTCGGGTGGATGACAAAGGTGCCATCTCTGTTGATGGCAACAGTAGACCTTTTTGGTCATGCGGGTCAAACAGCTTGATGCTAGGGAAATGCCTTGAGTAACGAGTCAGAGCGCCTTGCAGTATCAATTTCGGCCAAACGTAAATATCAAATTGCTGTGAGCTTTACACATGTAGCTGATATCTTTCCAACTTGGCAGGCACCTACATACCTACACCTACCCCTATCCAAGCTTATTCCTATGAACTCTTTTGAAATGTTTGGATCCGGATGTATCCTCGAAACGAGCTGAAAACTGCGTCCACCCGTGATGACAAGTGTCCTATTAACATTTTAGGTAAGTCCAATGGTACACCGATGCTGTAACTTGAGCCTTAAGTTGAGAACGAGTACGTTCGTAATATCGCGAGCATATCGAGCCATTCCAGGACCTATTATAAAAGCTCTTGAGATGGGGTACATTAAGAAAACAAAACTATCAGCTGTTTAGGACGAGAGATACGTCTACAACTATCCCGCATATGAGGCGTTCGGAAAATTTCTTATTTACTATGCTGATGGAGCGATCATGTCACAGCAAGCAGCGCGCCGCAGGGTGGTTTCAGGGAGGGCCGCACGGTACAAACGCTCGTAAATCAATAACTTCCGGGGAAATCGCGTTCTGCGACCCTATTTGGCCGCTGTCAGTGCACGTGCTGTAACGCGGCCTGGCTAGGAAGGAACCCTGAGCCGGGGTCAGTTAAGGCTTGACCATGTGGTGGTGTGGGTGGTGTGCGAGTATTGTTGCTTGAACTCTGGAACTGATCGTGATACTTAAAGGCATCCAATGTGATTGCTGGTAATATGGGTGATAAAACAGAACACTCAGCTGTCATCAAGAGGGTGCATGCTGAGTTGCGTGCAAAGTGCCTAGAAGGTGAGTGCCTACTTACCAGTCCATAAAAAAGTCCACCCTTTGTGCTGGTTGCCTTCGTGATGTCTGTATACCGAACTGGAAGCTGGCATGTGTTAAACTTGGTGTGGATTATGTTAGATGTTTGTACTGTTTTAATAAAAAATGTTCTGAGCATTTTTGCAGCATCATGATTCCAGGCAACATTGGTTTTGTATATGCTTAAATTGGTAGCAATTGGTCAAATTTACATTGTACATGTGCAGCTGAAATTTTGCCATGATTGGCCATCCTGCTCATGTTCAGTGCAACAGGCTTTTTTGCAGTCTGGCCTTTTGACTTCGTACCCACCTACGCAGCCAGTGGTGTTTTTGTGCCAAGTAATGTTAAAAAATTTGCCAGTCTGTTGACTAGGTGATAACATTATTGTGGTCCTCAGTATTTACAGTAGAATAGTTGTTATATGATATGACTGCAAATAAAAGAGACCATAACAACCAATTGTAAGGCACAAGCATGACAAGATCTGACACCTGCATGTTATTGAAAAATCATGTGTGTGTGGATAGGCAACCTCTTTAACACCCAACCCACAGACACTTCAGGTGGACTAATCAAAATGTAAGGGTGTGTTACACTACAAGAATATTAGACACTATTATATTTATGGGCATACTTCTGGTGATCAAAGAAATCAGCCTGTTAATCAGTAAAAATGCTTAAGCTTGTATCAGTGGTCAAAATGCCTTGATGTTTGTTAGTCTTTAGGTTTGCCAAAAAACATTGTATTACAGGGTTGTCACAAGTCCAAATATTTTTTTTTTACTGTGACATAAACTGAGTTTGCAAATAAAATCTTGTAGACATTGCAGCATAAAAATGTGGTCTTTGACCCAGTCACAATCATGGTGGTCACACAATTGATTGAAGCTCAAAATCACCCTCCCCAGTTCATGGTTAATGGACATAGGAAATGTGGAATAGCATTGTTGTCTTTTTGACCATGGAGTTGTGGTGGGCATGATGTTCAGTCACCACTGATGCAGACGTTGCCTGATATCACCCATTTTTTTCTTAGTCAGCCTGAAACAGAATGTTGAACATCATCTGTCTGGCCCCTCATGATCTCACCACAGATTGTATGTGATACCCCATCCGACCTACCACCAGCTTGACGCAGGTTGTTTTGACCCTGCCTGCCTGCCCGACCCCCATCAGCCAGAGGTGGCTTTGACATGGCATCCCCACCTGAGCCCCCATGGGCCCGACACGAGTACTGCCTGACGCTGTCCGCCTGGTCCGTAATGGGCTGTCACGGTTTTGTCGGTGCGGCGGAGCAAAGTCGGAACACGTTTGGACATGGCCCTGACCGGGCTGGGAGCGGCTGCCGGTCCGCAGGCTGTTATTGTGTGGTTCCATGGCAACGCCACTGCCCCAGCCAGACCGTTCTGGCCTTATAGACGCCGGACTTGTGGCCGGTGGCTATGGTCTTGGAGGTAGTGCGGTGGGAGATGTCTGTTGGAAATGAAGTGGTCCGGCTGGTAACTGATGACAGATGTCGGCGCCATACGCCGGACCAGCTTGCATTGCTTCGTGAGGTCAGAATCTCTGGTGCTCGGGTTTTTGGTGTACCATGTCCCTCCAAGATAACTGCGAAACTGTTCTGATATGGCTGGGACTAGTTGCACTGTAGTGGCCTATTATAAGCCAAAAATGGAACAGTAGCTGTAAACATGCATACAACAACGATCGTCATTCCACTGACAAAACTACCCTGCGGCGGAATGATACGTACGTTTCGTGTGTTTACCGTCTCCACGAGAGGTAATTTATTTCCGTATTGATTTTACTCATCTTATTTATGACTTATGTGTGTGTCTAGTCATGCCGTTCACTAATTCTGGTCGTTTCCTTTCCAAATGTTGGATAAAATAAGAGACAACCTAGTAGAGGATAGTTAAAACACTTAACGGGGATTTCCAAGAAGGTATCGCGCACGTGGTCGCCCATTCCTTTACGGATCGCACCGACTGCACCTGGAATGATGTATTGATCAGTTAAGTGCAGCTCGTGAAGATCGTCGCTGCCAGTTACAACCGATTTCAGTGAATTAGCAAGAAAATAAATACGGTTTGTACAGCATGCATTAAACATCTTTATCTGGGGAAACACCCGATAAAAGTCATTACCGTGAGCGTAAGAAACTAGCTGCACGGGCCTTGAAAGTATCTAAATCATCAGTAAACAGGCCAGCTTCTACAGTGTCGCGACGAAAACTGTTCACTAGTCTCGGTGCCCTACATAATGCTGAGGATCTCACGTGCTCACCCGCGACCAGGAACACCAAGCGACCTTTGTCTGCGGGTGAATCAAGCAGGCAGGTGTGGGGAGAAACGGCGTGGTAAGACATGATAATCTAATTTTGCTAAAAACTGTTCTGATTTTTAAAAAAGTCATGATACACTGTCCGTGACCCCTAAGAGGGAACCCGTAGGTCACGTAACAGATCTTGGTGCGAAAAAGACTAGCTTTGTCCGGAAGAAGTATAAGTTACCAGCCAGATGAGAATCTTGTCCTGGCGTTGCCTTTCATCAATACGCACTGCGTGAGAATCCGCCGCTGCGGTCCAAATCCAACTGCAAAACTCCACAACAAATTGCCCGTTGGAGAAGCACGCAAAAACACGTGACATGCGGATATTTAAGCGTGAGAACGTGTAAGAAGACCGTCTTTGTCGCGCGCTGTATGTATGTCGCGTGCTGTATGTGCTGTGCATGCAACCTACGAGCTGACACACGGCGACTTGATCGATCTGCGCAAACGTGACGTAGAAACCATCGGGATTCCATTTCATGTCCAGTCCTGTGAACCACCCCCGTATACGAACGGCCTAACTACAACTTCGCTTCGCCTCGACAGATGGCAGCTCGGACATGGCCGTGTGGCGGCGGCACGTGTCCCAGGAGGCCGGCAAGGCCGAGTACGCGGCGGCCATGCTGCGCCAGGCCACCGAGGTGTGGGCGGAGCGTCACGCGGCGGCGCCCGAGCTCTGTCGGCTCGTCTGGACGCACCGCGCCATCCTCGAGTACCACACCGAGCCTCAGCTGGCCCGGGCGCGCGCCTACGACGACCGGCTGGCGGAGCGACACGGCGCCGCGCCGCACGCCTGGACCAGGTGCGACCCGGCCGAGGCGACGCGCCTGAACTTCGACACCCCAGATCGCATGGCATTGGTATCATAACGCGCCCGTGAAATCCTGTTGAGCTGTATTTCGCGCTGGATACGGTTATGTGTTGCCTGCTGGTAAGCATGAACACTGATTTTCCTTTCCCATGTCCTTTCCTTTCCTTTCTCATGTACTGCTGTCTGTGGAACTGTCCTGGTCTGCGGCGCTATTTGTACATCTCAAGAGCAATCGACACATACTGTCATCCAAAACCTACCCGTAGCTGGCTGATATGTGCTTGCTCGGTTGGCGGCTCCGCATCATGGTAGGATTAACCGGAGACCCGAGCGTTGACCAGTGTCGGCCGTCCGGCAGCGCCGCCGAGCTCAGTCAGCTGCCGCTCTTCGACACGCTGGACGTGGGCAGCTGCTACGACCCGCTGCGCGGCCGGGCGCGGCTGCGGGTGACGGCGCTGGATCTGTGGCCGGCGGCCGACACCGTGCTGCGCGGTGACCTGCTCTCGGTGCCGGTGGGCGCGCACACGGCCACCGACGGCGGCCGCCTGCTGAGCCTGGCCGCCAACGCCTGGCACGCCGTCTGCTTCTGCCTGCTGCTGGAATACCTGCCGACGCCGGCGCTGCGGTACGCGTGCTGCCGGCGGGCGGCGCGCCTGCTGCGGCCCGAGGGCGTGCTGGTGGTGGTCAGCCCCGACTCGGCTCACCGCACCGCCAACGGGCCCCTCTACCGCGCCTGGCGGCTGGCGCTCGGCACGCTCGGGCTCGTCCGCGTCAGGTGAGTCACGTGCCACGGCTCCTCGTCTGTCTGTCTGTCTGTGTCCGTCCGTCTGCCTGTCTGTTGCGTGTGCTTGGCAGTCCGTGGTGCTCACGTAGCCTTCAATCTGTTGTCTGAAGTTGTGGTCGGCCTGGCCTAGTGTTGTATTTTCTGCTGTTCCCGCAGTCTTTGGTGTCCTTGATGTGCGAGCTTTGCTACGCATGCGTAGGTCATGCTGTCCAGGAAGTCTGTGCAGCTTTCGCTTCCGGCTGTGGTATTTCTGCTGTGCCGTTATACTGTGTCTTCAGAGTGGCGCTGTTCCGGTTCGCCAGTCGTTTGTCCTGTCTCTCCCCATGCCAATCCGACCTGGCTAGCCTCAGTGTGTGCCTACGCTTCTATAATAAGTCTGAATCCGGTAAGATGCAAAGCAGAGCGTGTGGTGTGTCCAAGAAAGGGTTTTGGTTCTTCTGAACCATCCAATTGTTTGACATCTCTGAATCGTGAGATGGTTTCCACCATACCTCTCCGTGTGACATTGCTTCCGCACAATACGCGCCACGCTTCCCGATTCAGGCTCTAAGCACCGCCCGTTCCCCTCTGTAGGTACGAGAAAACTCTGCACCTGCACTGCATGGTGTTCCGCAAATCGGTGCACCCGGACCTGGTGGCTGTCGAGGCTCTGGCGCACATCCGCCAGGACGCGGCGCGCGGCCGGCTGACCTGGATCCGCCCTCCCTCCGATCCCCCGGCACCTGCCCAGTTCAGTCCCTCCGACCACAACGCGTCCGAGTTCTGTGAGCCCCCTCCCAAGCGCTCGTCTACCTCTCCCGAATCTCCTCCGAGGGCCCTTCACGGGAGCCCGTCCGCCTCCCCTGAGCCCGCTCTCAAGGGTCCGTCGGTCCCTCTTGAGCCCCCTCACAGGAGCCCGTCCGTCTCCCCTGAGCCCACTCACAAGGACTCGTCGGTCTCCCTTGAGCCCCCTCACAGGAGCCCGTCCGCCTCCCCTGAGCCCACTCACAAGGACTCGTCGGTCTCCCTTGAGCCCCCTCACAGGAGCCCATCCGCCTCCCCGGAGCCCGCTCACGACTGTCCTCCCGCCGCTGCCGGTCCCGGGACTGTCGGCGGCGCCCCAGCCGTCACGGGCGTGAAGAGGAAGATAGGTGGCGTTGCGGGCGGGTCCGCGCTGGGTGATCACGAGGACGCGGAGTGTGAGGTCGCGCCAGACCCAGAGCCCGCAGAGCGAGACGGACCCCCGAGTGATGTGGTGGGCGTTCCCGAGCCCTACCAGCTGATGGTCATTCACCAGGACTTGAAGGCGACGGTGGTGAACTCAGGACGGTCGCCAGCACCGTCCAGTGATCCTTCGTGATCAGACTTCCAAGAATGTGATTGGTATCTAAAAGTTCAGATCTACGTCAAAGCTGCCAGGGTGTGTTTTCGCTGAGGCTCTGGTGATATGGCTGGAGGGGCACCTCCCTCAAAGCAGCATTTGTAATTGTCATCAGCGCGGAGGTGGCTGTCCAATGCATTTTCTTTGTTCTTACAAAGCTACGTCATTGTACATCAACTTTTCGTTTTCGCGGTGAAAAGCGTGGACTGCTTGATATGTGTCAAGTCGAGACTCGGCGTGCTTCAGTCTTTGAATTTTGCGTGGATGTGACCTTGTGCAAGTGTGTTATGCGGATACGTGTTTTGTACGCTATGGGTTACGAAAACGGAAACTGCACCGCGCTGAAGTTTTGTTTGGGGTGACGGAAACGGGATGCTCATCCATTTTATCAGTGTGGTACTTCGAAGATAATGCAATCTTTCATGGCTTCGTACCCTGTAGGCTGGGAGAATGAGGGCTGAGGAGAAGTCAGCTAGTTTTGCGATTTTCTAAGGATTGCGTACCTTGTGTGATTACCAGGGCCCATGAATGCGCGTCCTACTTGGTAGATGCCATTACAAGTTGGGCTATGCCTGCTGACTACTTCGGATGTGTGGATCTGATGTTTCCTGGTACTTTTGGTAGAAATGTCCGCACAACGACGAGTTGAGAATAGTACCGTCAGCTTTACAAATAACAGCTGGTGATAATTCACCTTTAAAACTGTACTGTAAACTTCATGACTGCACGTCTCGGATGATGACATCCCTACCAGGGCCGTGCGGCCGACAGCGTCCCATGGCGTATAAGCCAGATGAGCCGTGCCCTTATGAAATCATCCCGCTCGCGATGGCCGCCTAAGTTCAGTTTATCCTTCGCGATGCGCTTCTTATAGGTTATTTGCGCGACCTATCCTTGGGTTTGTCTGTGTTTGCGGGCCCGACGGATGCGCTGGAACACCGTTGTTCCGCTCTGATCCCGATTTGCGATTTACTTTCCATCGTTAGGATCAGCATGAATCCCCCATATGCTACAGAGGATCAGGATGCAAAGTTGGCAAGTGTCAAGTCTACGTACATGTTACGCCTCGCGAGAGAGTCCGTTAGCATGCCGAAGGTGCGCCCCGGCTTGTTTGTGGACCGCGTCGTGGTAGAGAATTCTTGGTAGCTTGGGTGAGCGGCTGATGCTTGTGGGCGTGAGCCTACACGCTAATGGGGGAGTCGGGGGGGGGGGGGGGGGGAGTGATCGATTGTGGAGCAAATACAAATGCAAAATATTGCCGTGCTGTTGACATCTCCTCGTTCTTGGTACTTACTGTCGGCTCGAGGTATCATGCGGCCCACACGATGGCTTTCGATGAGCATGTCGCGAGAATCCCTATGTGCATGGTTGTATACTTAGTCCTGGAAACCATTGCTCACGCACAAGCCCGAATGGCCTTCGACGTCCGTGGCTGATCCAGTCCTCGATCTATCACCGGGGGCGGACGTTGGGTGTGGCCTTAACTCCTGTTCCTTAAAACGGAACTATGCCTTTTCCGACAGCTCTTCTGCGTGTTACTTTGCTCACTTCCCAATTTAAGGCAGCGTTTATCAATATTTGTATGGAAATTTCGCATGTGTGTTTAATTTTCCTGACTATCGATTACGCAGCCCTGTGCCGGTTGTCGATTAATGACATTTCCGTAACCGAAGCTACTAAATTATGCGCATCTGGCAAGTGCTGAGCCCTTCCCGACACCAAGGCGGTGAACAAAGTCTGGGCTACTACTGGAGGGAAGATAGATATGAAAAGCGATAAATGGTTGCAGCAAGACAGCTCGCCATTTTACACGCCATGCACACCGGAGAGTGGCAAAGTGAAGCTGGTCCAAACTAACTGCAATTTTGGCAAACAAAGTGGTCCAAAGTGAAGCCCATGACTGTTGCACGAATTATGCATCGTAACCATCCAGTTGTCATTGGGTGACGCGAATATTGATACTTGGTGATAGTGGGCGAAATTAACGAAGGCAGTTAAAATCTTGTGCTACGTGTTTTGGCTATGGAAGGGATGCGACATTTCCCAGAAGTTGGAACTGTGCTACCATTATGACTTAAGCATTGCGTAGGTAATATAGTGAAAATATTCGCAGACAAGTCTGTGAAGATGGCCGTAGACAATCGCTGAGAAAAGGCAGCAATAAAATACACTATGCGAGAGATCCGTATCGCTCAGTGCGTGAACTTTGTAAACAATTCAAAGTACATTCATGTCTGCTTTGGCCGTCGGAGCGAACATTTTGAGCAGCTAATAAAACCACTCCTAAATGAACACAAGACGTCTCATCGTTGTGAAGTTTGGTGGGATAACTACACAGCCTGTTGAACATATCACGTGAAAGTCTGACGTCCGTAAATGAATAGATTTAGCAGCTATATCCCAAGTTAAGTGCCATATCTATGCTTCGGACACCCAGTATTTATTATCCACATGTTTCGTGCATCCAGGAATGACCTTCCGTTGGGCATTAGCGTACAAAACTACCTGCTGAACACAAAAACGCGGCTTAAATTCCAGATCGCTTCAGCGGAATGACCCATTCGTAGAGCTTCTTATATATTTACTTAGCTACGTGCGCTTCAATGCCAAACTCGCCTGAGTCACACGTAGTACGCACCATAAATTTATTATTTGTCCAGTTAGTCGATATTTAACCGCTACTGTTTTTGTAAGAAATGAAATTGGGGTGATTTACGAACGCTTCATTTTTTCTCATATGCCCCTGGAATAGTCCAACTGGGCGTGGGTGGGACATGGACACTTGGTGTCATACTGCTCTCCTTTTTTGTGCCATCATTTATGCCATAGATCAACTAAATATATGCTTTCTTTTCAGCCAAACGACTCATTCGTATGGCTCCTTATAAATTTACTTAGCTCGTGTACTTCAATGTCAAACTCGCTTGAACCACACCTAGCACGTACCATAAATTTATTATTTGTCGGGTTAGTCGACATTTAACCGCTACTGTTTTGGGAAGAAATGAAATCGGATGATCTACGAATGCCTCATTTCTCATATGACCCTGGAATGGTCCAAGTGGACATGGGTGGGACATAAACACTTAGTGTCATACTGTTCTCTTTTCTGTACTATCATTCATGCCATGGATAAAAGAAATATACGATGATGTTGATAATGACGGCTCCGACCCTACCCTCTAGATCTGCCCCCTAGTATTTTGTTATAGATGTATAGTTCAGCAATCGCCTCCTCATGACAGCGTTAGACGATGCGTTTTGATGCGCGACGATGCAAGAAAATGTATACATTGATGTGCCTCTACTCCTAATTCACTGACCAGTCGTGGACCTGTCATTGGGCGTACCCGCAGCCTGCGCTGGTTAATCGTCGCGACCGGAGACTGCAGACGGCTGGAAGGCGGCGACACAGCGGCGTGACACTCTTGCCGTGATATTTCAATGGATGTTTCGTGATACTTCAATGGTGGCCATTCAGACCACCGCAGACCACCGCAGCGGCCAGCGGCCGAGTAACGGGACTGAACAGAACGCCAGGTCACTACAGTAATAGTGCGGACATGACTATCCACTCATGTTCGACTTCAATGTGAAATAAATTTAAGCACCGAAAGACTTCAAACATTTCCGGAATCATTATTTTCTTTGTTAAGCATCTTTAGTTATCTCTAGTATCTAATTTAAACTTTTTTGTCAAGTACCGTGACTGTGGAAGAGGACGGAATGGGTTTGCGATGTGGATGCTGCAGTACTTGTTAATAACGTCTGCCTTCCTCTATATTAAATCATTTCCTCTATCATAGATCTTTTCCCGTCCGATCACAACTAGTATAGCTAAGAGCTTAGTTTGATCATGTGATGCATTTGGAGAACAAGATCATACAACTAACACGAAAACCGTAGTAAGATTTAGATATTGCACCAGAGCACGCGATAACGCCAATTGTATACACGCGTATATATATATATATATATATATATATATATATATATATATATATATATATATATATATATATATATATATATATATATATCTCTCTCTCTCTCTCTCTCTCTCTCTCTCTCTCTCTCTCTCTCTCTATATATATATATATATCTATATATCTATATATAGCTATAAATATATATATATATATATATATATAAATATATATATATATATATATATATATATATAAGTATACTAATAAAACAAATCGCCCTCTTGACCAAATTTGAAAATGAAGTGGCCGAAATCCGGGGAGAAGGGCATATCCGGCCGTTGTATACTTGCCTCAACTTTTCAATCGCTCCCACACCCCTTGAGACAAACATAAACAGGACGTACCTGGCGCACCGGGGCGCAATGGGAACTGAACTTTAAAACGCAAACTCACCCACCCTAAGACCCAGGTTGGTCACATCGATGCCGAAATAAATGTGTCGCTCCGCATCACACGCTGTTCGGATTCAGGACAGTCGGATTAAAAGGTGTTAGCTGTCAGGCAGCACCTCACTGTATTTGACATCGCGTTGATTGTCCACAACCACATTTCTTCATATATTATTTGCGTGAACGAAAGGATGCCGTAAACGGGCTTGATTATTCATGACGCACTGCGACTGGAATGCACATAATTGTTGTCCATGGCTTAAAAGCCGTGTTGGCATGCACGCGCCGGCTATCCGTGGCAGTTGACCTCTTCATGGGAATTGCTGTCGTTGAAAGGAATCCAATGCGAATGCGGGATCCGTTTGAACCGCGCGACCTCCCGCCACTGAACCTGGCACATTCATCGGCGACAGGGTCACAGCCGTTAACTCCACCATTGC